GTGTGTGTGTGAGAGAGAGAGAGAGAGAGAGAGAGAGAGATGTGGAACATCCGCCGGAGGAGCGCGCAGACAGACGGACTGCGGGAGGAGTGTTGCCGTGTTCAGGGACAGCAGCAGCAGCTCCAGGACGCACAGCGCTGAAATGGGAGTCGAAATCGAGACCATCACCCCCGGTGACGGTAAAGCCTGCTGTACATTTTAACGTGCTTGCGTGCAGCCATAGAAACAGCGCCTTAATTGCGTCATGAGCATGTTATGTTGAGCTCTCTTTTGGCTTCTCCACAGGACGGACTTTCCCCAAAAAAGGACAGACGTGTGTGGTGCATTATGTCGGTGAGTTTGACGTGACAAACTTAAACTGTACGTGCACGGACACACTGTACACGTTAGGCACACCGGCGGGTTCACGGGAAGGCCGTCCGAGTGGAGTAACGGCTGTGGGCACTGTGTCCTACACCCGTTCTGAAAAATAGCTCAGCGTGATAATCCTGAAAGTATCGCAGGAGATGATGAGAATCCTTGCAGGGACGCTGTGAGGGTTGGATTGAGAGCAACGTGCAGCCGGACAAAGTGTGCACAGCAGACATATTTTGTGCCTCAGACCTTTCCAGGCAGTGATTTCTCAGTAGGGCAAAGAGGTATTACTGTCAGTCACCGACCGAGCTGCGTGGAAATTTAACCCCTTCGTCCCGTTTCTACTCCCCGCACATTCGGTGTGTTGGGTAGGTGAAAACGTGCAAAGCAGCATCAGCAACAGTAGGTGGAGTTGGTGGTGGTGGAGGTGGTGGTGTGTCCCGGGGACGGTGCTCTGGATTTACCACTGCGTAAAATAATGCGCGCCTCAGTCTGGGGCCGACCGCTCCATTACAGCCTCATGAAGATCACTGGATGAATGTGGTCATTTGTCTTGTCTGGATAATTAACAAAAGAGGAGGTGGAGGGGGGACGCAGACTGATTCCGCCGCAGGGTTCACTCAGAGGACCAGACAGACAGACCAGAGGAGCCCAGACAGCACGGTTTTAAATCCCGTCTGATTTCCAGCGCTTTTCTGTCTTTGTTGGAGTTTCTCTGGGGTCGTTGGGGGGTTGGGGGTTGGTGGCGTTTAGCTGAGCGGATTATAACCGTCTGGCTGACTGTAATAATAGCAGGCTCAATCCTCTACTATTTTCTGGAGAATTGCACGTTATGTGAACAACACTGAATGTTGGTCACTTCGTCACCCTGAACAAGAGTTAGCAATATCAGTCACATCTTTTATTTTTAACCCCTCCTTTGTGCCACCAGGATAGAGCTGTAGGACTGATGTACAGCACAGTCTGTGGCTAAGACTTATTTTCTGTGTTAATTAATATCTCAGTTGTCTTTTGGTGTTTTTTTTGTGTTTTTTTAAGAAAAAATGTTTAGAAAGGAAGAAGCTTATTACAGTTCACTGGAGTCAACTTGGATGACAGCATAAAATGTTTTGTTGTCTAACTAATAATCCAAAGCCACAGGGTGCAGATGAAGACTGAAATGGTTCAATTTATTTAAGTTTTAATTATATAGTGCCAAATCGCAACAGCAGTTGCCCCGAGGTACTTTATATTGAAAGATAATGATCCTTTAATATTAGAGTAAAACCCAACAATAGAACAACCCCTTATGAGCAAGCACTTGGCGACAGTGGGAAGGAAAAACTCCCTTTTAACAGGAAAAAACCTCCGGCAGAACCAGACTCAGGGAGGAGTTGGGTTGAAATTGAACATCATACTGTGTTAAAAAAAGACTAAAGTAGTGACTGGGGCCAACGTGGCTCAAGAGTTGGCAGTTTGTCTTGTAACTGGAAGGTTGCCGGTTCAAGCCCTGGCTTGGACAGTCTCGGTCATTGTGTCCTTGGGCAAGACACTTCACCTACCGCCTACTGGTGATGGCCAGATGGCGCGATATGGCAGCCTCGCTTCTGTCAGTCTGCCCCAGTTGCAGCTGTGGCTACAACTGTAGCTTGCCTCCACCAGTGTGTGAATGTGAGAGTGAATGAATAGTGGAATTGTAAAGTGCTTTGAGGGCCTGAAAAGCGCTATATAAATGCAATCCATTATTATTATTGATAGCATAACTGATTGGCAAAAACAAAAGTGGATAAAGAAGGATTATCCAAAATGTGAACACTCGTCCATGACAAATTGTCGACATTAGCAAATTGGTAGCACCGTTTAATTGACTAATGACGTATACTTGACCTATTAATATTAACAAGCCTATGAGTATAGAGTTATTAACTAATAAGCACGGGGTTTCACAGTCAGATCCAGCCCTCACTCGTCACATCTGGTTTCAAAACACTGGTGATAGAGAAAAGTGACTAACTATCCAGTGAGTGACTGTGTCCATCTTTTATACTGGCTCTCATTTAAACAGACTAAGTTTTGGCAACATATACCCCCCAACCCCCATTAATCTCTAGTTGCCGATCAAGTCACACATCACTTACTAGATCCTTCTCACTTACAAATCCCTCCATACCCTGGCCTTCAGTATCTGTCTGACCTCCTTCACCCGTGCACACCGTCTCAGATCCTACGATCTTCAGCCATGGGTCTGTCCCTCGCTCTAACCTCTGTACCGCTGAGCTTTCAATGTGGCAGCCCTACCCTCTGGACTCCTCTCCCATCTGAGCTCCGCAACGCTAGCAATGCAATGCTAAAACCGTATGTTGAGGTTTAGCAGTCGGTTGTGTGCATGCTAGCAGAATTTGTGCAATCAAATTTGTGGCTTTTTCTATTGCCAAAGTTTTGCATAAATTAAAATTCTCCTCAGATAGTGCTATATGAAAAGCTAATTTATTACAAGCCACTCATAGTGGAGCATGAAGTTTGTGGATCAGCAAAGTCATTGAGAGTTTTCTTGTGGAAATTGCACACTACTTCATGGAAATCCTTCCTCGTGTTGCTGTTGAGACGTAAAAGCAGTGGACAGACTGACAGATATCATTAGCATGCTTTGCAGTGTATTAAAAGGGAGTAACATGTAGATCATGTCGTGCAGTTCCCAGCATACTAGACTACATATTTGTCTGCACCTGTTTTTAGTTTGGCAAAGCGTGTTGCCTGGTGAGACAGACATAACTCACCCTGTAACACAAGCCTCTTTGCTTCGAGATTATGTAACATGAAGTCAGAGCTCATTTGGGCTTTGCAAGGCAAAGCATATTTTTTAAAACTTGTTTTTAGGCTTGAGACTGCATTGTCTACTTTTTAATAACCCACAATCTGCAGGATTTCCTCTCTGAGCCGTCTCCCTTCCTGCAAGCCTACAAAGTTATCTTGACATGAAACAGGATATTCCGTTACACAAGCGAGTCTTTTTTTGATGCAGACATCTGTATGAAGATCAAAACTTGGTCTGTCTGGGAGCAGCTCTGCATCCAGGAAATGATCAGCGTGTGAGAAAGTCATTATTGGGTTCTTTGTACTGCAGTGCTCAGATCGAATGGGACCTTTAGCTTGTCCAGATAATCTGATATCTAGATTTCCAGAAGAGGACAGGACACCCCACCGTGCTGCTGGGATTACAGGCTGCATCTTGCCAGCTCGCGTATCGATATGTGTTATGTTGCATCAAGCAACCACACACACAGACACACACCCTTCCACGGTGGTGGTAATAACAGTAATAACGATGGCGGAAATGGTATTGGAGGGCTGCTATTCTGTGCACCCATGCCTGCATCTTCCTGACTCACATTCAAACCCACCATGCAGACAGCTGCAGCTTCTATTTCTGAGATGCTGAGAATCCCTTTATTTGTGCGCTCTGTATAAACACAGCAGAGATGATGGATGCCAGAGAAGCTTGGAAGACATCACTGTTTGCAATGGTTTTATGAAACAACTTGTACACGTTAGATATTAGCCGGCCTGAACATTCTGTGAGTGATTAGTCCTGTAATTGTTCATGTTCAGGGGTAATGGCTGGCTTTTTCAACAGCAGGATGAGGGCGTGCACCAGCAGCTGTTTCTGTTTCTCTCACACACTGTACTTCCATCTTACCGTTTCCTTGTTTGCAGGCTCTCTCACAGACGGACGGAAGTTTGACTCTTCTCGTGACAGAGACAAGCCTTTCCGGTTCAAGATTGGCAAGCAGGAAGTGATCCGAGGCTGGGAAGAGGGCGTAGTGCAGGTAGGCTGGAGAAGTTTGGGAAAAGGTAAAAAGGTTATTATTAGTAGCGTTACATTTTTCCATCATAGACTTTACATGGTGGGTTAGCACGTTTTAGTTTTATATATTCATCCCTCCAGTGATACCCACCTTCAGTTAACTAGGCCATAATCTTCTCACTTTTATTTGGGAAGTTAATTTGCTGCTAACCATTTTGTATTTTCCCTACTAGCTGAGTCACTGGGTAGGTTACTGTTGTGGCGGTCTTCAATATCCATCTGCTGCTTTGTAGGAAGGATCTAGTCCTGTGGTTGGAAAGATTCCAACTCCACTATCTTGGACTGCTGCTGGTGTTCGTACTCCTTACTGGAGATCTTCTGCAAGCTGGAAGGCCACCAAACTGGCTCATGTGCTGCAGTTCTAAGCTGTACAACAGAAGAAAGCTTACTTCACCAGCTGCAGTCCAAGATGGTGGAATTTAACTACAACATTCACTGAAGTTGATGATGATTCAATAAAACATGGATACATCTATGCTCATTCAGCCTATTTTCAGTCAGGTTAACAACCATCGACTCTGCTGAGAAGATGGAAATAACAAAGCTGACGTGTTCCACTGGTTTTGTAGTTCTTTTGGAGCCGGAAATAATAATAATGGATTGCATTTATATAGCGCGTTTCGGGCCCTCAAAGCGCTTTACAATTACACTATTCATTCACTCTCACACACTGGTGGAGGCAAGCTACAGTTGTAGCCTGGGGCAGACTGACAGAAGCGAGGCTACCATATCACACCATTGGCCATCACCAGTAGGCGGAGTGTCTTGCCCTAGGACACAACAACCGAGACCGTCCAAGCCAGGGCTCGAACCGGCAACCTTCCGATTACAACACGAACTGCCAACTCTTGAGCCACGATCACCACGAGAAGTGACCATATTTACAGGCGAGGATGGTGTGCTAAGTTATCACCATATGCTAGCTAGTTTGGTTAGCAGACATGCTGTTGCTAATTAGTCTGAACACTAAAAAAAAAAACAAAGAATTTCAATCAACAGTTCAGGGACTCTGATTAACTGTCTGCAAAGCGGCTCATGGGCTGGACACAAAAACAAAAGAAAAAAACAGTCTCACCATGAAAGCAGATATATGAAAAGAGGTAGTGCGAAGTAAAATTCTTACCAGGCAAAAAATGAAAACTGAGATTGCATTTTGCAAAATGTCTTTTGACTCCTGCTTAGGCTATTTGCAGACTTGCAGTCCAACAGATTCATTCACGATTAGCCAAAACGACCCAGACTAAAAACAGCCTAAAAAAACTGACTTTAGAAAGGCTCCAGGACCAAAAATCGTGCCCTTTAGAGTTTGCTTGTTCAGACGTGTTCATTGTTTCCTGTTTATAAACAGCATCATTATACCTGGAGCAAATGCCATAGTTTCTGCTACTTGTCTGGTTCCAGGTCATGTAACTAGTTAGTTGTATTACTGTCAATTATGAAATTCAGCTGGTTAAAATGAGGTGGTGATGTCAGTGATATCAATGTACCCGCTCATGTGCTTTGTAAATAAGTGCTGAGCTTATTGTTCCCACTGGTTTTACATTGGACTGACTTGATTGCAGAAAGGAAATAAACATTTTATTATGTGTCTTAAAAAGTCTTAAATTTGTATCTAGTACCCCATACGGAAACCCCAATACAGCACATATAAAATAATGATCAAGCAATGAATCTAAAGCTGGTCTATAAGCTGTGTGAATTTATTCAGATGTCCTCAGAGGACATTCTGCAGTGTATTGTATGCCACTGGATCAGATTCTGGGGGAAAAGTCATAAAGCTCGGCAGCTTCAGCAGTCATGATTTAGAGGCAAATGTAACTGGGATGGTTTCAAAGAAGATGTATTTTGCTTCTGTAACACATAAATTTATTGACATGGTTCCATTATCGAGTTTTCACTTACCAAGCTCTCCATTAACTCTGTTCCTCTGTGCACCAACTCAGCAAGGACACAGCTCCATATCTCATCCGCTCAGCCGTGCAGCATTTAGATGAGGTGGCTGGTGCTGCCTGTGTGGACATCCTGTATTTTTAATGGTAGCAACTTCAAGTTCTCTGTGTGCTCAGTGTGATCTTTAATATACCCACAGGGCATTTAGATTGATTTGCTATTGTGCAGTAAAGCAGTCAGAGTAGATGCACTGTGGATAAGATTGAGGAAAACTGAAGCATCATTAGTAAACAAGATATTTTTACTGTCCCCTGTGGCTTATTATCTAACTTCCACTGCAGAGACTACATTATGATCCAATTAACTGTATTTTCTAGCAGAACAAGTGCTCAATAACAATCCATTGCCTTTGTCCTGTTTCTGTCTCCTCCTCTTCATCCTCCTGCATCTAGATGAGTGTTGGTCAGAGGGCCAAGCTGACCTGTTCGCCTGACTACGCTTACGGAAACAAAGGCCATCCGGGCATCATCCCACCTAATGCCACCCTCATCTTTGATGTAGAGCTGCTGGGTTTGGAGTGAAACAAACCCGCTGCCTTTATTTTTTTTTTTATGTTGTGTAAGTAGTCTGTAAAAAGTCACAGTCTGATATACATTTAGCTAGCTTACATATTAAACACAGGGCAGCACAGCAAGTGATGAATGGACTGGTTCTCGTATCATGCATTTCGACTCTACTTGAGCACTTGGAGTGCTTTATACCCATTCATGCAAGCACTTTTTTCCTACACTTAATTGCTTTCCATCTAAACACACACATTCATACTCTGACGAACACACTGGAGAGCAACTTGGCGTTGCCCAAGGATTCAAATAAAAAATCAGCCACCCAAAAGCCCCATAAACTCATAAGGCTAGAATACAAGGGTTGTTGTTATTGAGAAAATAACTGGTAGCACACTCACAAGTTCAGGCTGTCCTAGAGCTTTCCTCTCACCACAGATGAGCTGTTGTTGTTGTACCTTTGTCATTTTAATTTTTTTCTTTTTGTCCTGACAGGACATAACTAGCCTACTTTAACACAGTACCATAGCATAACAGTTGGCTAGCTTCTTCAGTAGCTAGTTTATTATTTCACATTACATGACATATTGTAGCTGCAGCATGTATTGAATTCACTCACTACCTATCATTATAGCATTTCATTATGTTACAGAACTAACATATTCACACATGAATATGAACTGGCTAAATTTGGGTTAAAAACTGAGCTAATGTAGCTATAGTTATAATGTAGCTAGTTAGCTAGTTGTGGCTACATTCTAACTTTCTTTCTGGGCTCTGTTTTTTTAAAGCCTCGGTGTTAGCATTGTTTTCTTCTACTTCAGTGGGTGGTTTTTTTTTCTAGCTTTAGTTTTTAGCTGACATTCAAAAGCTTGGTTTACAATCTCCTAAAACTCTACAGGTATAACACAAAGACATAGATACCCTTACCCCTGAATTGGTCGTGGCAGGAAGTTTCATCCTGTTTAAAGGGAGTGTTTCCTTCCCAGTTGCCAAATACTTGTCCATAGGCGATTGTCTGGTTGTTGTGGGGGGTTATCTTATTCCATTAAGTGCCCTGAGTGTATATACTGCTGTTAAACACTTAAGCTTGGTAAGATGACTTTTAAATCTCAATCCAAACTAAAGTGTCAGAGGTATCTCCATCTGTACATCCTAAAATGTTTTTAAACAAGATGTTCTCCTTCATGTTGTCATCACAGGGGACTTCCTACACGGGCGACCAGGAGAGAAGCTAGGAGAGTCTGCACTTGAGGCTCAAGTCAATATTCCACTACTTATTTCATCAAACTATGACAGTTTGTGTTATTTTGTCTCTGTGACTGAGTTGATTCTGTTTTTCCATCTTATTCTTCCTCCTAGAAAAACCATGGGTCATAGCCTTAAAAACCTCCACGTTCTTAATCTTAAAATGCTAATTGAATTGCTTTTCTTTGTGTTTTAGAAATGTTGTGCATGGTTACGCTGAAAAGTACATAACCAATGAACCACTAGCCGAAACATTCATCTTTATAAGTCCAACCCATACTGATGTTATATGTTTGACAGCTTGTTGTATTCCAAAAAAAAAAAAAAAAGTACAAAAACATATTAAAAGCACACATTTTTATCCCTGCCCAGCTTCAAATTGGGTTAAATAGGCATAAGGTTAAATTTAATGGCTACTTGTTGTGAAAGTCAGGGAAGGCCTTAATGGTGCGACACAGGAACGTAGTTTCTGTAAAACACCACTGTGTTTACTTTTTCATTGAATTTGCGAATTTAAGCTGGCACAAAAGAGAACAAGTAACAGTTGTAGATAGCTCTCATGTGTGCCTAAATCTTCTCACCAGATACACGGTTACTACTTTACCCTATCTGCATGTTGTAGGCCTGATGGAAACTTAGTGCGTACATGCTGAAAGCTTTGCATCTGATTTTATTATTACTGCCTTCTCATCTTGCCAAGTCTTTAAACCCCATTTAAAGCCATACACAGGTCGAACGGTGCAACAACGGGATTTGTGGGAGCACGTGTCAATTGGAAGTTTGGTTATTTTTGTCTTATAAAAATAGGATGGAAATGCTTGAAATCAAGGGGAGGGTGTCAGTCAAATTGCAACCTCCCTGATTTATTTTGTGGATCAATTACAATTGTGTATTTTTTCAGATGCTCACTTTCTATCTCTAGAATCAACATGGCTGATGTTCAACCTATGACGATAATTTTTTTTCTTTTTTTAGTTATATTTTATTTTTTTGCCACTGTTAAGTACCACACTGCCTAACTGAAGTCTGTGTTGTCATAAAAAAAGTTGCTGACACACAGGCGTCCTTGTGGTTTTTGTATCTAAAAAAAAGTAGTAGTTTTAAATGGAGTTTAAATGAAGGGATTTGCTGGCCTGGCTGTCTGATATTGACTGTTGATGTTGCATATTGGCCAAGCTGCAACTGGTGTGACAGCAGTCCACCTATGTACTGTGTAGTTCTGTGCTGATGCATTACTGTATGCAGGCTAAACCAATGAAGACATATTTAAAATAAAAGAAGTACTCTCCACATGCCTATGAAGTTTATTTTTGGCTTTTTTTTTCTACTCCACTGTATTTGATTTATTACCATTTGGGGCGTGACAAAGTGCAGACCAATCATCATGCTGAAGATCAACAGACACAGACAAAGCACATAGCTTCAGAGGCTGCCTCTGTTTATTGACTGCTGCTCACTGACCTGCAAGCCAAGGGTGGGGTAACCTAGACAACTAAACTGATGAGCAGCTTATATAATAAATTGTATTAACATTAGATAAACACTTTAAAAATCAATAACTTTTGAAACTATTTTACCACAAGTGCCTACAAGCTAATCATAAATACCAGCTTAAATAAAAGCTTTTGTGCATATTTTTTATCTCTCCTAGAATTCCACTTGGTGCCATCTGGAACCTTTAAAAGGTGCTCAGGATGCATGAGCTTACTGGGGGGGGGAAGTAAAAATGTGCTGCTTCAAGCTGCTTTCATCTAGACAGCAAGCAATACCATGTTCTTAAAATCTTTGAAGACAAATAATGAATTAACGCCTGAATTCATGTTAAGTAAACCTTTTCCCTTCTGTGTTTCTGGTTATAGTTATTATTGACAACATAAAGGCATATAGGGAATATAGAAGGATTCTAAATATCACATTACTTCTAAAGGTCAAATAAGTTGAATCTTTAATAAAATGTCTTTTATCTTTAAAACTATGCTTAAAATGCTGCTACCTTTGTATTAGCAATATTCAGGAAATGACACAGGAATATGGGGATTCAAAATATCATGTTCTAGTTTGCGTCTAAGTATCATGTCACCTCTGACCTCAATTTTAAATTTCACATCTGTGTGGAGTTTGCATGGTTTGGGGTTATGTAAATAGGTAATTCTAAATTGCCCATAGGTGCGAATGGTTGTCTGTCTCTATGTGTTAGCCCTGCGACAAACTGGCGACCTGTCAGGATAGGCTTCAGCCCCCTGCAACCCTCACATGGATAAGCAGAAGAGAATGGATGGACAGTTCTGATCTTTACTATGCAAATTACAGATTCTTTACTCTTTTCAGTCTGGTTTTCAAAAGTACTCCAATGAGACTGCTTTCTTGAAGATCTATAATGATCTTTAAATAGCTTCTGATGCAGGGAATTATTCTGTAATAATTTTGCTTGATCTCAGTGCAGCCTTTGATACCATTGACCATAAAATCCTACTTAATACGCTTAAAGTTTTCACTTGTGTATTTTGGTTTTTCCTTAGGCTGGGTTTCTACTTATCTGATAGGACCTTCACTGTTAGAGCAAACAAGTTCACCTCCCCTCCCTGACCTGCAGGTTAGAGTTCAGTTTTGGATCTATTATTATTTTCTTTCTACATGCATTCTCTAGTTGGCATTATTCAATCTTTTAATAACATTTCTTATCATTTCTATGCCGATGACAATCAGCAGTATATGTCTTTTAAGCTTCATCACCTAAACTCCGGCCAGGTGGTGGAATTGAATTTAGGATCTTCTTGCTGTGAGGCAACAGTGCTAATCACCGAGCCATGGTGCTGCCCAAGAACTACTTTTCTACAATTGCTTTGTAATAATTTATAATAATTTGCTTCTACATGGCAATTTTGAAATAGGGAAATAATTACCAGTAGAACTTGCATCAAGATTCTGTTTCTTCAGAATCTGTTACTTCACAGTTACCTTGCCTCAGTATTAATGAGTCACTGTTAATGACAGACAGCAATGTGGGACCATTGCTGGTGAGTCCCAGACAGGACAGAGGGAGGTAATATATCTAAGGATATTATGACAAGGATTTCATTTGACCTGTTACTGAAGTTAAACCATTCATTGTAATTGGAGAAAAAGAAGTAGATGATCCAGGGCACCAAGGACCATTTTCATGAGGGGAGCCATTTGAGGAGATTTTTGATCTCAAGTCCATCAACTTATTTACAAAGTGATTGAGAAATGTATTGCAATCATCATCAGACAGCTGAGTTGGAGAACAAACAATACTGTTGATAATCTCAAATAATACCCTTGGATTATTCTTATGACAATTTATGAGATTATTGAAATAAGAGTATTTAGCCTCTTTCACTGACTTATTATATAAGCCAAGAATCTCTGAATTATTGCAAGATGAATATGAGTAGGCCCTGATACATGTTGAACAAAGTTAAAAGAGTCTGTAATGCTCAGGAATTCCTTAGTGATACTATTTGATGGATCTTCTGCATGAATATAAGTCCTTAACAGTGATGACCATGCCAAACCTAATAGTGGGAGTTAAAAAGACTTGAAATACTGACAGAAAAGATTAAGCAGACCCAGGAGGTGGAAGATAAATTAAAATATCATACATGAGCTGATCTCTTCCAATCTTGATCATAATCATCTAAAGAGCTGTAAAAGCTCGAAAAGATCACCTGGTATAAAAATGTATTGTGGGGCATAACTATAAAAGATAAAGATGAAGCCGACGAAGTAGTACAAGGAAACTGTCTCTCTTCCCCCGCTGCCTCCGATGAGTCCTCCAAAGCAAAGGTGGAATGACCGGCAAGAGTAGAGATATGCTGGGTGCTGCGACGCACTCAAGCATTCTGTGCTGGCACACGATGGCGCTAAACATGTTTAAGACATTTATAGCACTTATTTAATTCAGCTTCACAGACAGAGTTACATCTATGTCAGTTTTTGAGAGTAGGAGTTTGTAGTGTAAATTAGCCCTTATACTAATGGTATAACGCAAATAAATAAATAAATCAGCTATCTTTTACAATATGTATAAAAAGAATCATGCTTTATACTGATCCAGAGTCAGGGTCAGCAGCAGACCTATACTAGCAACCTACTTTTTCAAGGGGCATTTAGGTCACCTTGCTTTTCAATATTTACAACCATTAGGCACACTACATCACAGAGAAATGTAGTCACAGTAGTCAAAAAATGGTCTTAAATTGCAGAGCATGGCAGGAGACAAACAGGACGAACATGAGACATTTTATAAGTAGAGAATGAACTTATTATACACTAGAACAGTTGACTGTGAGCACACAATATCACCAACACATTTCCAATTTCTTTGCAATTTTCATGTTTTGGTGGGGGGGGGGGGGGGGTCATGCTTAAAAACGACATGCAAACGCAGAAGAATGTCCTCTTTTTAGTTTCAAAGATTTATGAGGGGTACTCCCCAAAGTCTGACCTGAATATGATATATATATAGTTATTTAACTAACTAGTGATAGTATGTCAAGAGTGAGCGAGACGTCGATTCACTGATCCACACTACTAGAATATACAGCAATGACCTCTGAATGTTCATGTCACGAGATGGTAAATAAGAGAGGGAAAGTAGTCAGAACTGAGGGAATGCACTCCCAGGAGGCAACATTGCAGACATCGAGGACAGCTACAAATATCTGGGAACCCAGGGACTAGGACCTGGAGTTTTAAACTAAGCATTTAGTATTGCTCCACTCTTTCCCTGACTCACAAAGCATCACATGATGTCACAAAATGTTATTGATCAGTTGCAATGATGGTCTTAGAACAGTATTAATCAAGATATTGTTAGAATAACACCAACACGGGGATAGCTGACTGTTAGCGGGACATCCATTTGGTAATTCCTCTGGCACGTTTGTCCTTCTTATTAAACTCAGCTGCTGAGCGCTCACACTGTTCTCTGTGTACAAATCAGTCTGACTCGCCAGATGTTTGGATCCATATTTGACTATTAAGCACATTTTGGCTATGATGTTTGGTCTTCTGTAAAGTGTCAGCTAACTTTGTATATGGAATATGCAAAGGAATAGAGACACACTTCACTCTTTATGGACCTTTTGTTGTACTAACACCATCATTTAACATACAGTGTTAACTAGTATTCATAAATGTTTACTGCTATCAGCTTGTAAAATCCTGTTGTTAAAATACCCTTCTTTATTTCTTTCTGCAGATTTGTTTGTAATTAAAACATTTTTAAATAGAAATGTGCAAACTTACATTTCAGCTGGGAGAAAATTTGGACCAGCTTGAACTGAGACAAGAGATAATTTAAGTAAACTTCATTTAAACTATAAAACGTTTTTTCCACTTATCATTGTTAACTGTTTGAAGAGTGTGTCAAATAAATGACAACATGTAGCTCCATGTTTGACTAGCACTTTTTTAAGAAGTTGTGCAACTTGTTACTAAAATGTTCTCTTTTTATGTTGGGCCCCCTTATTATTTATCTTACAGTGCACTTACTAATTTTTTTACAGTGCACAGCGATCTAGCCAGATAAAAAGACAGCCTCATGGCATTGTGACGTTAAGCTCCACTGATCTCCCCTACACCCCTATTTGCTTTGTGCTTAAAATATGGCACTCATTAAATTATAAATTCTACCCTTCCCGTGCATCACTTTAGGTATAAATTCAAATGGTTATTATCTCTTGGCATAAGCACATTTGCAATACTAATCTATCATCGAATTCCCAGGGCCTCCATCTGTACCAGCTCAGAGGCTGCCAACAAGGACAAACCAGTCAATAAAAAAAAAAAATTAATTAAAAAAAATAAATAAATAAACATTTTAGTGCATTCTTTTATCTTTACAGTGCCCCCCCCCCAAAAAAAAAGCCCACAAAATGCGCAGGCTACCAGGAAAACACTCCCAAAACAGTTCAGGGGGCCGGCCTTGAGGTCAACGGCCCAAGAGTCCAGAAAACAGCTCAGGGGGTTGACCATGAAGCCAGCGGCGGCGACGGAGCAGGTCCGGAGGCCGGCCATGACAGCAATGATGTCCAGCCAACGACCTAGAAAGTGGCTGGACCAGGCGAGGCCAAAGCCTCGGAGGCTGGACCAGGCGAGGATGGCGTGGCAGGCGACGGCGTGGGAGCTGCGGATGGAGGAGCAGGCGACGGCGTGGGAGCTGCGGATGGAGGAGCAGGCGACGGCGTGGGAGCTGCAGATGGTGGCGCTGCAGGCGAGGCAGGCTGCTGGACGGGCCCCACGGACCCTTCAGCTGGAACAGGTGGCTGAGTAAACTG